TCCAATGAATAAGGCTAATTCTCTTCCTCCTTCACGCTTCTGTGTTCTGCCAGCTTTTACTAATGTCAAACTTACAAAATCCGGTTCATTACTGTCTACAGACTACTTCAGCGAAGTTCCTGTGACAGCTTGGTAGAATCTACCTGTACACGTATCTCCATTCGCTTGTTGAGCAAGGTACACCAGATGTGGCCTTGGCATCATCCTCCATCAAAGCCGGAAAATTTATAATTCTAAAGTCAATCTCACAAGCATTTAACCCCAGGTTGAGTTCTTTCCATCTTTTTGTCTCTTCATAGATTCGTGAGCGGCATGTCTCTACAGACAAAAACTCCTGATCCATTTAGTTTATGTACATTCTATAGTATTAGGTCCATTTAATTAGGAGGACCAAATACCACATTTAGCAGCTTGGTTTGATTCTATTTTAAGTCCGTCTGGTTGTCTAGTATATATACTCTCAGCAAGGTGGCCTCAGAGATATTTTGAGGTATTAGCTGTTTATGCTGATCTTTCGTCAACTCAATATCATACTTAAAGCGAGTTTCGGATTCTGAACCTTCACTTTCCTTGACTAGAAGAAATACAACTTAACTGTTACTTTAATCTGCCTTCGATTTTTCAACTATTTGGGAGGTTGATTTTTTTAAAGGCATTAGGTAGTTTCTCACCCCTGGTTTGTACCTATTAATCCGCTTTCATTGGAGTAACAATCACAGCCACGTTGCCTACACCGTGGTACCGTGGGTGATTTTAAACGGCTTTGGTGGTAAGCTTGTCGTTTTCCTGCTGGAGCCAGACCTAGCTTTGCGACTAGGTTTTCCAGACGTTTCTCACCTGTTGAGGTTTGGGGGCGGAAAATGGAGGAAACCTTCTTTCTTAAGTTTTAAAATACCTTTTTGAAATCGGTCCTTTGCAATTGGCCCATGTAAGTCAGTCGACCCTGACATTGTATGAGATCGCTTCATAACGTTTTGTGTATTGAGAGGGTAAGTACCACTTGATGCGTTTCGATTACGCTTGCTAATGCTTCTTTTAGCAGCATTCACCATTGCAATCGCTTTGAATAGCAAGCTGTTGCGTTTAACCAGCATTGCCGACACAACCGTTTGAAACCCGCAAGTACTAGATCCGTGCAAACTCTGTGGTACCACTTTTTGCACCCGTCGCACTGTATGCCATTTTCCAAGGGTATCGGCAACCCTGATGTCAGCAACTACTTTTTTGCTCTATCCAGTCGTCAGTCATATGTTTACAAAAAGCTAGACGCAACCACTGCCCAGAAACAAAAAGGTGATGACAGAAAATAGCAAAAATCCATAAATTGTTAGACTTAGAAGTGTAGTCAATGAAAAGAACTGAAGTTCTCAAAAAGTACAGATTATGCATTACTTTCGGGAAGAAACGGTACCTTAACTGAAGTATGCTCAATTAAAGTGAAAACAGTAGTCTTGGTGCGTAGTAGACAGTCAAAGCAATAAAATTAACTCAGCGATGGAACATATGTACCATTAACCTTTTCAAATAGTGAGGAAAATTCACCCACCCAAATGGCTCAGTAACATTTCGACATTTTAGCTGAAGAAGTAACTCTTATTCCTAACCCTGGTATTCAATTCTAAATCCTAATATTAATTCCTCACACCAATTTTTAGTCATCTTTTATTCTTGTAAACAGGTAAATATTCTCAAGGTTACTTTTATCGTTCAAAGGTCATCCATAAATTATAGTCGCACTGGTTTTTTCTGAGCTTCTAAATCAACTTGAAGGTAAGGTTTACCACTTCGATTCGGTGTTTTCATTTAAAACTTTACATCATCTGTGAATAAGATTGGAAACAAACTAATCAATTTTTGCAATTCATTCACATGGGGCGCAAGTTATTGGGGACTGAGATCGTGAATTACAATATGTATTGTACACTATGTCTCACTGACTTCTATTTAGATAGCGTCTAGTTTACCCTTGCCACCTATCGTCGGTTACACAGAAATTTCCATATTTATCCTTGTGGGGATGTATTATGATCCCAATCACGCAGCTATGAGTTTGATTCGGGACCATCATATCAGGTCGTTTTTTGATTCACTTACGTCCCAAGAGCCCTATTACTGAACTACCTCAATCACTACAAATCTACAATGTGGAACAAGTTGTACAACTTGCTTTTACAAACGCCGTCGATGTTCAGCTTAATGGTGCCAAATTGGTAGAAACCTGTCTTCCTTCACTATAAGCAGAAAGTCATAGACAGTTGGAAGTTCGTATATTTATTGGTTACCTACTTTTCAGTGGTAAAGAGACAAATATTAATTATGTTTATACCAATGTGGGGTATTTTTTGAGTCCATCCGTATGTTATTATCTTAAAGATATTAAATACTATAGTATAATCAGTTATGAGCACAGGGTCTTCAACTATCTCTCTCTCCTCGGATAACCTATCTAAAGTGCTTGCACGTTGGGCGAGACTATAGCCTCGCCCCTTTTTGTTATCTTCTATATTTTAGCTTGAGATATCTTTAATCATCCGACTTAGTTGTCTAACTTACTATTCCTACACGGAACTTTATCCGTAGATTCATATATAATAATGGTAGTCTTATTAAGTGGTCCTGCTTCAATCTCTCTGCCTCAGCTATAAATGGGAATCCTCTACAAAATTATTCGGTTTGTTCAAGACATCAGTTTCGCACTGAACTACGATGGCGTTCCAGTATTGGCAGCGAGATTGACTGAGGTCTTAGGCAGGATCTGGGAACTGGACGTAATCCTGTCTGATTGGTCTCTATCAGGCTGGTTTTCGACCTGGATGTGGTTGTATAGACCAGATATTCATACTACGTGAGGTCCTGGAACATATACACACATCCAGACGCCCCACAATCGTAATATTCCTCGACCTCAAGGCGGCACTTGACTCTGTTAATTGTGAGGTTCTATGGCAGTGTTTGTCACTGAAAGGAGTACCAAAGAAGTACATTAACCTTATACAAGCTCTCTACTCAAACACAACTGATCGAGTGAGAGCTTATGGCAAACTGTTATCAGAATTGATTACCTCAAGTGGTGTTCGTCAGGGCTGTTCACTCCCTCCATTCTTGTTAACTTTGTCGTTTATGTGCTTTTAGAGATAACACTTCCCTCGTCTAAATTTCCAGGGGTTGAACTTCTACCAGGAGGTTCACTTGTTGACTTAGAATATGCTGATGACATAGTTTTATTTGGTGAAGACTCTGACAAAATGCAGAGTCTTATGACCACTTTGAGCAACAATGCAAGCATGTTCGCGATGCGATTCTCCCCTCGAAATGCAAAATCTTGCTTCAGGACTGGGTTATGTTGACACCCGAACTAATGATAAGGAGTGAAGTAATTGAGTGTGTCGACCGCTTCACTTATCTTGGAAGTCTCATCAGCCCTTGTGGTCTGGTGTGTGACGAAATCTCAGCACGGATACAGAAGGCCCGACTAGCTTTCGCCAACTTGCGTCATTTATGGCGTAGGCGAGATATCCGTCTATCAACCAAAGGACGGGTTTACTGCGCAGCAGTTCGTTCCGTCCTACTTTATGGCAGTGAAACATGGCCGGTAAGAGTAGAGGATATTCGTAGGTTACTAGTAGTTCGATCATAGGTGTCTTCGAAATATTGCTCGTATATCATGGGACCATCGAGTAACTCAGTTGTTAGGAAACGGGTACTAGGTAAGGATGGCAAATCGACTGATGAAGTGGTGAAACTTCATCAGTTGAGGTGGCTGGGACACTTGTTACGTATGCCCAACCACCGACTGCCTCGACGTGCTATGTTCAGTGGTATAGGAGTAGGTTGGAAGAAAGCTAGGGGTGGCCAAACCAAAACATGGCACAAGTCCATGAAGTCACTGACAAGTGGACTGAGTCATATTGGTAGGTGTAGACTACCTGGTTGGGGACCGCGAGATGATAGCAACCGATGGTTAGAGACCCTGAATGACATGGCTCAAAATTGTTTTCAATGGTGCAGGTCCACTCTCTGTGTTTCTCCCAAATTCTAGTCTTTTGAATTCTTCATGTCCTTTTTCTCTCTTTCCAAATTCACTGGATTATACTCTCTGAATAACAACTTCAAACCCTAATCTTTCCGATTAATGTCTATACTCTTACTACCTGTACCACTACAGGATTTGAATCGACAACTGCATCTCTGTGCTAATGTGGTATGTCAACTTGAACTGATGTACATACGTATGAAGTTCTACGTTGTTACTGACTGAATGAACTAAGAACTGCGTGCCTTTGTTGTATTGAGAACAATATCCGTCTTAGGAGTATTATGTAGTTTTTATACCCAAATGAAGAATGATTTTAGTAAGCGAACATAAATTCAGAAATCAGGTATGTAATGAACCGTGGCCAATGCGCGAACTTATATGAATGGCACTGGTTGAAAAAGCCGTTTTTCGATGCAAGCATCAGTCATTTTGAGAGAAACAGCAAGAGTTTGAAGATGATTTGGAAAAAACTACCATTTAACATACTTAGGCACATTGGTTACTAGTCTACTAGTCGGTTTCTTGACGTTTCAGAAACCCCTTTATGAACTAGGTTGCAAACCATAAATTATGGGAGCATTTGCGATACTCAGTATTCGTTTGAACTTAAAGGAAACTCTGTTATCCAGTGGTTAAAGGCCCAATGCATAAGTCAATGAGCTCTTACTAAGGTAATATCTTAATCACTCGGACACTAGACGTCAGAAGGGTGATCGTTTTCTGACTTTCCTCTGTACAAATAATTAGTGTATCCGTGTTTGGGTTTTGACAAGTGTTTAGGCATTTTTTTATTTTACGAGTTTTGGTAGTTCGTCAAACTACTAATTATTACTGCATTGTATTATCATAAATTATTCTGTACAGTTGTATCTTATCATACCCTAATCTGCTGATTTTATTCATCAGGTGCAGTATTTGCAAGGAGAGTTTGAATACTACTCAAACATCTGTCGTTTGCATTAATATGCGCCATGTTCGATTTTTGTCTCAATGGCAATTTTACCTTGATCCTGAAGTTAACATCCCTATAAACTTTTTTTTACAAGAGCCTTTTTGGGGTATGTTGAGTTGTACTTCTAAAATCCTATATAGAGACCGCTTCAAAGGTTTTCGAACGTGTAGTGAATTATCAAAAAAGGACCAAGATTTCAACAACGCAGATAGTTCTAATCATGTATCTAAATTCGCCGAGAAGAACAATGTGAATCGACAAAGCGAACGTAACATTATTGAGACATTTCCTACAATCGTATCCAAGCATATAGTTTTTTCTGATTCCGAAGAAAACGATAAGCAGCCATTTGCGATCGCCTTAGAAGAAGAAAAACACCTAATCGACAATACTGACGTAAATTGCTCATCGATCAAAAAGCCTCTGCAATCAAGAAAGTATTTTACATCTGTCTCCTACACCTTAAAACATTTGCTTCATTCTGACTCGGTTATATCGGAAAGTGACTCATCATCTGATTCAAACCATGAACTCAGAACTCAAAATTTGTACTTCCAACTGCTAGTTCTCAAGCGACTAAAAGAACTATTCCAAATGTTCTCTCCTTCAATAGTTCAAAAAGTAATACCAGTGTAGTTAGTAGCGATGTCGATGAGTTATGTAAAATGTTGGACGAAATGCAACAATTGGGTCTTCCTACTAGCTTTGGTTGTGTATGTTACGTATATTTATTATCAACTAATCAAACTTACTTAGCCACATAAACAAAAGTCAGTGAATCCGAAGTCTGCAAAGTAATTAAATTTAATCTCCAAAGTTTTGAGCTCTTTTTAAGTAAAAAAATTACCTGTTTCTATTTTAAAATGCAGTAGTTTTACTTTATAATTTTTAATAAGATAAAATAGTGTCTAACCCTTGAAATGACATGATGTTTTAGTCTTGTGATAATTGTACTTATTAGCTAGTAAAAAGTATATTTTTGGAAGTCAGGTTGTTACTCGGTGGTCTGATTATTCAGTTGTCACTCGTTGACTGATAGGTTTGAACTTCACTTCCCTTGGTTTCCACAGCAGGGCTGTATGTATTTAGGTACTTGGATATGAGCCACGCTCTAAATGTGAGGACTAATGATACTACTCGGTTGCTCAAATTAAAGTAGGGCGAGTGAGGCTCGGACCTAGGAATTAGTGGGTGAAAACCGAACACCAAAACCAATTAGACGCCTCAGGGTAGTATCTGCAATCCTTACTAAACAGTTGTGACTCAGTACTTAATATACAATATTGGGCTTGGTTGCTAATCCGCCTTGTATCTTTTGGTTCTTTATGTGTGATGGATTCTAAACATTACAATTATGTTTGTGTTAGATAATCCTCTAACATCACTCAAGACCACTGTATTCATAATCAACCTCCATCTTCAATTCCTATTATTCCTCCTACATCGACTTTCACCTCTAAACTTCCTCTTTCGGCTTCCCCATCAAGTGTCACCACAGCCAACGATTCTAGTGCGCAAAACACTGTCCCAGGTCTACTGAAACCTCACTCCAAACTACACATTGGAGCCTTCAACGTACGCACCCTGTGTCAAGTCGTTCAACAGGCTTCCCTGACTAGAACCCTAGAATCTCGTACCATTGATGTATGCTGTGTCTCTGAAACACGAGTACAAGATCCCAGTGTGGTCATTCACTTGACCTCACCTCGGCAAAACGGAGAGCCAACGAGATACACCCTCCGTGTATCTGGTGACCGAGGGCCAGCTCTCGTGGACTGGCAGGAGTAGATATAGCACTAAGCATGAGGGCGGAACAAGCACTGTTAGAGTGGATCCCCGTTAACAGTCGTTTATGTGCTGTTGGGCTAAACGGCTCCGTAAGAACTCGGAAGGATAGGGACACACGTCGTTGCCTTTTTGTCGTTTCTGCCTACGCTCCCACTGACTGCAGCTCAGATGAAGTGAAAGATGAATTTTACAGAAAGCTGTCCGAACTTCTTCAGAAAGCTAAACGTTCAGACATAGTACTCGTAGCAGGTGACTTTAATGCCCAGATAGGTAGTTTAAACCAAACAGAAAGGCATTTAGGTGGGTATTTTAGTATTCCGATACAACGAACAGATAATGGTGATCGTCTGCTGCAACTGTGCTCAGACAATCATTTATTTTTAGCAAACACAAATTTTAAGCATAAGGAGAGACATCATCTAACATGGCAACCCTCTACACCAAACCAACGATGGACTCGAATAGACCATATTGCCATCAGTCATCGTTGGAGAGGGTCGGTAGAAGATTGTCGCTCATTCTGGAGTACTTGTTTGGACTCCGACCATGCCCTAATACGGGCACGCATCTGCTTGCGCCTCACTGGACGCAAAAAAGCCTCATTAAAAAGACCCATTAGAACTGAATTGAGTAGCAAGAAAACCAAAAGTAGGTCTCAGGAACGACTGAGGTCACAATTAGGTAGTTCTGAAGACGAGGTTGACCCAGATGTTGCTTGGAAAGCTATACAAACAGCTATGGAAACAGCAGTGACATCTATCAGTGATTTAAACCACAGGGTTACAAAGAACCAGTGGATTTCCTCAAGGTCTATTGTACTGATGGATTCTCGTAAACTCATCCCATCAGGCTCTGAACACGATGAAGAGCGATAAACAAATCAGATCTAGGTTAAGCAAAAGTCTAAGGAACGACCGTGAGCAGTGGTGGGCAACGAAGGCAAAAGAGATGGAAAAGGCGGCGACTATAGAGAACACAAGACAGCTCAATAGACTAATAAAAGAAACTGGGATTAATAAGTCAAGTGTAAGTCAGACTAATTCGGAAAATCACGACACCCTCATCTTCTCCCAGTCTAGATGTTTAGAACGATGGGCGGAACATTTCAGAGAATAGTTCAGCTGACCTTCAGCTACTCTACAACTCCCCCCATTCCCAGACAGTGTGAATGGAACATTGAAGTAGGTCCCCCAACTCTAGCAGAAGTCTGAAAGGCTATAGTTAATCTGAAACGAGGAAGGGCAGCTGATCCAGATGGATTATCTCTAGAGGTCTTTAAGTATAGTGGTCCAATTTTAGCAATTAGGTTGACTAATATCTTAGCTAAAATCTGGGAGTTGGATGTAATCCCATCTGACTGGTCATAATCACTTATCGTCCCAATATATAAGAAAGGGTCAAAATCATCCTGTGACAACCATAGAAGGATTAGTTTGACTAATATAACATGTAAAATACTAGCCTCGATAATTATCGGGCGCCTAACAAACACTCGTGAACTAACTGCAAACACGAAAAAACGAGGCTGGCTTCAGACCTGGTCGTGGCTGCATCGACCACATATTCACTATTCGTCAGGTTTGAGAACACAGGCATTATTATCAGCGTCCGACAATGGTGGCTCTTCTTGACTTGAAAGCAGCATTTGACTCTGCAGGCCGAGAGGTTTTGTGTCTGTCGAAAGGCGTACCTCAGAAGTACATAAACCTTGTGAAGGCTCTTTACTCGAACACTACCAGTCGAATCAGAGATAATGGCGAACTGTCATCTGCTTTTGCAACCTCAAGTGGTGTCCATCAAGGCTGTCCACTTTCTCCATTTTTGTTTAATTTCGTCATAGACTTACTGATGGAAATAACATTCTCGTCGACTCAATTCTCGGGTATTGATTTCCTTCCAGGAGGCCCACTTATCGACTTAGAATACGCAGATGACATATTCCTGTTTGGTGAAGACGCTGATAAAATGCAGAGTCTTTTGGTAGCACTAAGCAACAATGCCAGAATGTTTGGAATGCGCTTCTCTCCCTCTAAATGCAAGTTGTCCCGATCGAAGCTGCTACCTTGACGCGGTGGTCGGGCTTGCCTATCGTGATGACCCAACCGAGCTATATTGGCTGGAACATATGTTCCTGTAGGTTCTACCATGCCAGGCAGGTCGATTGGTGAACGGTAAGACTAAAAGCAGCAACTCAAGGTCTGAGGGCGAAGTCGTACTGCTGACTGTAGAGGGGTGTGACAGCAGTAAGGTGTTTCCCTCGGACAACCAGCATGACAGCGATGCTGCCTTCCCACAAGGAGGGGTGGGGTTAGAAAAGGTCGACCCTAAAAATGTCACACCTCACCTTACCTCACGGATTTCCGTCTCCGGCGGTAAGGCCCTTTGAAGAACGGAGCTAACACGTCAAAAACCTTCCACAAAAAGGCCGTGCGCGACCGGCCTCAAGCAGTTGTCCCTTGGGCTCTGCGGTCACGCTCCCAGGTCGTCAAGACCAACACTAATCCAATTTCCTTTTCAGGTTCCTCAAGAAATACCCTTCCACGGTGTGGGCAGCCGGGAAGTGACATCAGCCCTCATACCCGTAACAGCACAAGAGACCAAGGTGGTCACATTCAAATCCTTCCTACACCTCCTAATACCTCTCTTATCTCCATGACTAACCCTCCTCACGTCTCTTTATCACCTCGCACCGCTAGGGCAAACGATTCGAGTACGTGGAACGCCATTCCTGGTCTCCTGAAACCACGCTCTAAACTACACGTAGGAGCTTTTAACGTACGAACACTTTGCCAAATAGGACAGCAGGCTTCCTTAGCTAAAACTTTAGAATCTCGCGCCATCGATGTGTGCTGCGTCTCCGAAACGCGCATACAGGATCCAAGTAGCGTCATTCATTTGACCTCACCATGCCAAAATAAAGAACCGACTCGATTTACGCTTCGTGTATCTGGAAGCCCTGATTCTGCTTCCCGTGGCCTCGCCGGCGTAGGTATAGCATTGAGTCCTAGGGCAGAACTAGCTCTCTTAGAGTGGATCCCAGTAGACAGTCGTTTGTGCGCTGTCCGACTGAACGGAACAGTAAGAATCCGGAAAGATAGGGACACTCGTCGTTGCCTCTTCGTCGTCTCTGCCTATTCTCCCACTGACTGCAGCTCAGATGATGTAAAAGATGAGTTTTACAGAAAGCTTTCGGACCTTCTCCGAAAAGCTAGGCGCTCGGATGTAGTAATAGTGGCCGGTGACTTTAATGCTCAAGTAGGTAAACTAAGCGATAGGGAAAGACACCTAGGTGGATCTTATGGTGTCGTGGCTCAAAGAACAGATAATGGCGACCGTCTGTTGCAGCTATGCTCAGATAACCGCCTGTTCCTTGCAAATACTAACTTTAAGCATAAGGAAAAACATCTTTTAACATGGCGACCCCCTAATTCGTCCCAACGTTGGACCCAAATAGATCACATCGCTATCAGCCACCGATGGAGGGGCTCGATAGAAGACTGTCGCTCATTCTGGAGCACATGCCTAGATTCAGATCATGCTCTAGTGCGAGCGCGTATTTGCTTGCGTCTTACTGGACGTAGGAAAGACGCTGCAAGGAAACCTCTTAGGGCCTACTTAATGATAGTCAAGCTAAGAGTATATTTCAGGAACAACTAGGAAAACAGTTAGGCAGCCATGTATGTGATGCCCACCCCGATGCAGCATGGAATGATATCCGAAAAGCTGTGGAAACAGCAGTGATATCTGCTAGTAAGGTAAACCAGAAGGTTAGGGAGCAACACTGGATCTCAGCAGCATCTATCGCACTGATAGATGCTCGGAAACTCATTCCACCTGGCTCTGAACATAATGAAGAGCGGAGTCAGCTTAAGCGCAAGCTGACAAGAAGTCTACGCAATGATCGCGAACAGTGGTGGGTAGCGAAAGCAAGAGAGATGGAAAAGGCAGCGGCAATAGGTAATAGCAGACAATTGTTCAGACTCGTTAAGGAAACCGGAATTAGGAACCCGACCGTTAGCGAAACAATCTCAGAGAAAGATGGACATATTATTCATTCTCAATCCAGGAGATTGGATCGATGGGCAGAACACTTTAGGGATCAGTTCAACTGGCCTTCAGCCACACTTCGGTTTCCCACGATCTCTAGTCAACCTGAATGGCAAGTTAATGTAGGTCCTCCGTCCCTTTACGAAGTTGAAAAAGCCATAGGAAATCTGAAACGAGGGAGAGCAGCAGGCCCTGACAGGTTTACTCCTGAGATTTTTAAGGATGGTGGTCCAGTATTAGCAATGAGATTAACCGAGGTCTTAGGTAGAATTTGGGAACTGGACGTAATCCCATCTGACTGGTCTCAATCACTGATTGTGCCAGTCTATAAGAAAGGACAAAAGTCCTCTTGTGACAATCACAGAGGAATCAGTTTGACTAATATAGTGTCTAAAATATTAGCTTCAATAATACTTCGACGCCTAATCAAAGCTCGTGAAGAGCAGACTAGAGAAAACCAGGCCGGTTTTCGACCTGGACGTGGTTGTATAGATCAGATATTCACACTACGTCAGGTTCTAGAACACAGACACACATTCAGACGCCCCACAATGGTAGTATTTCTCGACCTTAAGGCGGCATTCGACTCTGTTGATCGTGAGGTTCTATGGCAGTGTTTGTCACTGAAAGGAGTACCAAAGAAGTACATTAACCTTATAAAGGCTCTCTACTCGAACACAACTGGTCGAGTGAGAGCTTATGGCGAACTGTCATCAGAATTGATTACCTCAAGTGGTGTTCGTCAGGGCTGTCCACTCTCCCCATTCTTGTTCAACTTTGTCGACGTACTTTTAGAGATAACACTCTCCTCATCTAAATTTCCAGGGGTTGAACTTCTACCGGGAGGTTCACTTGTTGACTTAGAATATGCTGATGACATAGTTTTATTTGGTGAAGACGCTGACAAAATGCAGAGTCTTCTGACCACTCTAAGCAACAATGCAAGCATGTTCGGGATGCGATTCTCTCCCTCGAAATGCAAAATGTTGCTTCAGGATTGGGTTACATCGACACCCGAACTAGTGATAGGGAGTGAAGTAGTTGAGTGTGTCGACCGCTTCACTTATCTTGGAAGTCTCATCAGCCCTTGTGGTTGGTGTGTGACGAAATCTCAGCACGGATACAGAAGGCTCGACTAGCTTTTGCCAACTTGCGTCATTTATGGCGTAGGCGAGATATCCGTCTATCAACCAAAGGACGGGTTTACTGCGCAGCAGTTCGTTCCGTCCTACTTTATGGCAGTGAAACATGGCCGGTAAGAGTAGAGGATATTCGTAGGTTACTAGTATTTGATCATAGGTGTCTTCGAAATATTGCTCGTATATCATGGGACCATCGAGTAAGTAACACAGTTGTTAGGAAACGGGTACTAGGTAAGGATGGCAAATCAATTGATGAAGTAGTGAAACTTCATCAGTTGAGATGGCTGGGACACGTGTTACGTATGCCCAACGACCGACTGCCTCGACGTGCTATGTTCAGTGGTATAGGAGTAGGTTGGAAGAAAGCTAGGGGCGGCCAAACCAAAACATGGCACAAGTCCATGAAGTCACTGACAAGTGGACTGAGTCATGTTGGTAGGTGTAGACTACCTGGTTGGGGACCGCGAGATGATAGCAACCGATGGTTAGAGACCCTGAATGACATGGCTCAAAATCGTTTGCAATGGCGCAGGTGCATCCACTCTCTGTGTTCTCCCAAATTCTAATCTTCTGAATCCTTCATGTCCCTTTTTTCCTCTTTCCAAATTTATTTCACTGGATTATACTCTTTAAATAACATCTCCAAACCCTAATCTTCCCGATTACTGCTTATACTCTTGCTACCTCTACCACTACGGGATTTGAATCGACAACTGCATCTCTGTGCTAATGTGGTGTGGCAACTCGAACTGATGTACGTACGTACGAAGTTCTACGTTGTTACTGACTGACTGACTGAAATGCAAGTTGTTGCTTCAGGACTGGTCTGTGTCAACACCTGAACTGAGGATTGGGAGTGAAGTAGTCGAACGCGTTGACAACTTTACTTATGTTGGGAGTCTGATCAGCCCTAATGGGTTGGTGTCTGACGAAATCTCAGCACGGATTCGAAAAGTTCGTTTGGATTTTGCCAACTTTTGTCACTTATGGCGAAGGCGAGATATCCGTGTGTTCTATTCTGTTCTAATTTACGACTGAGAAACGTGAACATTAAGAGTTGAAGATACCCGTAAGCTACTACTATGTGATCACAGATGCCTTAGAAATATTACTGGCATCTTCTGGGATCCTCGGGTAAATAATAGTGAGGTCAGACGCAAGGTATTAGGAAATGATGGTAAATCAGTTGATGAGGTTGTGAATCTTCATCGACTGAGATGGTTGTGCCACGTATTACGTATGCCTGAACACCGATTACCACGACACGCAATGCTGACTAGTATTGGGGATGGTTGGAAGAAAGTTAGGGGCGACCAAACCAAAACGTGGTATCAGTGCTTGAAGTCACTAACTTATAGTGTGAGCCATGTTGGTAAATACAGACTACTTGGTTGGGGTCCACGTAACAATCGTAACCAATGGTTGGAGACTCTTGGTGACATGGCTCAGAATCGATCACAATGGCGTCGATGTATACACTCTCTGTCTTCCCTTAAACTGTGGGATTAAAATCGCTTCATATCTTTTTTCTACTAACTAATTCTTTCTTCCTGTACTATATCCTTATATGCAATCCTTCTTTTATATATTACCACCACTGAATTAACTACATTTATGAATCCGGTGTCCATCTTGTTGTGTTAATGAGGTATGGCAACTTGGACCGATGCATATATGTGCCTGGTCTTACGTTGTAGCTGACTGATTGACTAGATAATCCTGAAAATTGTTTACATCCCATCATTAATCAGTGATATCTGCTACTTAACAGTTAAATCTTTATTTGGGTTCTAGCTTCTGACTAATTGTCTTAAATTAGTCCCTAACCTATGAACCACAGCTCTGAAAGATGAACGGTTAACGATATTAGTTGTTAGCTTAGCTTGTTCTATTTGATATCCTTTTTACTAGTAAATTATAAACTTGAATAAGATTTATGGCAATCAGCTATGACTCGTTTTCGTGAATGAATCGATCCACTAGGATTTCGAGCATTTAACGCTCCGTTTTTATTTGTTTTACGTTGTTAGAGATTCTGTGATGCGGTCATATTAGTATATTCATTTATCCTAATCCAATTCCAAATCCAGCTAGGCGTAAGATTTAGCTTTTATGTCTGTTTCGGTTGGCATCAGAATACGAACATCATATCATACAAGTAAAACGTTCTACAAACGATAAGGTTAGTTTTTGTGGTTTTAAGATTTGTTGTAGTACTGTAGGGGATATGAGTACTGTGCATATCCCGTGACAAGCAAGAGCGGCGACTATTCAAGTCGATGTTTCTGTCTTCAAGGTACTTATAATCATACACTAGTTTTTTCGAGTAATGTAAATGAAATGAATCTGGAATTAGTTCCATATTAGCAGTGTTTGTAGCTTTTGGCACAAAAAACTTATCAAAAGAGAAAGATAGCCATTTCATAATCACAAAACACTGTTTATTGAAAATTAAGTACCAAAAGTTATATTTCTAAACCATACTCACTGCAAAAACCAATCTATGTAAGGTCACCGGTTTTCGCACCGTTCTGCTGTGTAACTTGCTGAAAAAATATCGACTGATTCCCGAAATTTCACTTCGATATATTTTCAATCAAAATGACTATTTTAATATGGCTTTTACTTCGGTTCAGGAAATGCATGAGAATTAATATCCTTGACACAAAAAGTATGTCTCACACCCCAATATACGCACTTGTACTTCCTTACCAACTTGCATTATATAGTTTATAAGCGGCATATGTTTGTAAGCTCATTATTTTTCTTAATGCATAAAATTGCTTATCACCAAGGTCTGAAGATATTTTATTCGATTGCTGTGACGATGAGGAAGTGGACCAATGGTTGCTAGTATTTGCGAGCCGATGTAAAGATAATACTGCACAAAGAAAACAGAGGAGTATTGTGCGTCATTGTCTGTCAGGTAGGTTTTGTTTTATTGAGCTAACCGTATATATAGCTTGATAACCAAGTCTTCGTTTCAAAGGCTGATGAATTACGTTGAAAACTCATATACCGTGTTTTAGACGTTATTTAATCACGTTTATTACCGTGTCAAGTATTTTGTGTTATTTCGCTAGTAAAAAGATTACTCAACCGACTAGCTTTTTTACTTCTTGGATAGGAGGACATGGCGTCAATAACTTCGTTTTATGAGCAAATATTGGACCAACTTATTGACATCAACTAAATCAATCACAATCTACACAAAAATAAAACTTGTCTCTGTTACCACAGTAATTCTATATGTGCAGTATTAGATAAACCCCCATAAGTTATCTAATGATACTTTGTAAATATTTCTTTAAAACTTATTACCAAACTAATAAAACGTTAATCAACCTCACATAGCGGTAGTTAATTCAGAGCTCATCAATCTTTAGTGATGACTTTTAAACAGTCATAAGTCATGATACTACTACTATAATTCATTGCAATTTTTTATTTGCAACTCTTTCTGTTTTATAAACAATAATTATTAAAAGTGCTTGGATTATCCTGTTGTTTATATTGTTAACTGAGTTTTAACCAGTTCATCATGCTACACCTGTTACACAAGTACGCGACTATTTGGACTCAGTAGATAACTGATTAGGTATTTGAAGCGAAAGATTTTGAGTTTTGTGCTGATGTGAACGTAAATACTCGAATCCAGGTACATCCAACTAACTAACCCCGTATAGGGTGTAACGCGCGTACTGAATTATACTGTTAGCCATAACCCAACTGTCTCTGTTTTCGTAAATATTATTGTTGGTAGCATCAGTAATATTAATAAAACTTTCAGATAATCCTCAAGTTTTCTGTTTACTGTTTCAATTTTCATCATAGATCTTGATCTTGAATCTGTTCGGTATTCTGGATCATTATTTATGAGTTCATCTGGAGAATTAAAAAGTTTGATCGATCCATACATTTGTGCAGGTTCAGTTTTTTCAAGAATGTGTTATGTACTGGAGATGGTTTGTGTGTTTACCAGTGAACATAATGGCAATAATAGGTAAGATTTTCTAAAATATGAGTATGTAACTTTGGTCCAATTTTGTTCATTTTTTGTGTTTGAATGCATGGATGATAAATATTCTCGTTAAACTCACTGTTGGTGTCAAATAACTTGTGAGTGTATGACTTAACCGTTTACGTACTTCTGTTTATCGTCATACGAATTAGTAAATATCTGTTGGGATCACCATTGGCCTTGAGCTACGTAGCTCAAATTTTCTGGTCACTGGTTACAGTTGTTACAAGGATCCAAATCAAATGGTTTACAACTTCATACACACTCCGTAGTAGTGTTTAATAGCTTCAGCTGATTTAATCATTATGGAATGTTTTCCACTTTTTCGCTTCAGATATCGTAATATTTTGAGATATCTAGTGATATAACTTCATCGACTAGCTATAGTAATATGTACTCGATGCTTTAATCGCGGTCGAACAATATTTCGAAGATAAGTTTCGTTGTGGTGATATGAGGTGTTGCAACTTGAACTAATACATACGCGTACTAAGTCCTATATTGGTAATGATCGAATAGTGGATTATTGGTCATGTTATTTTATTATTCGCATTTGCCAAGGTTTAGGTGGGATTGTTAGACTAGATAAAAATGACGATATCACAAATTCCAGTTGCCATTTTTAATTTATCTACTATTTTTATCAATTCTTTAACACTGAACTGGTCTATGTGTTATTATTTAACTATCCAGTCCATGGATCACTGCCGAGTTTTGACATCCTTACCTCAGTCAGGACCACCCAATCATGTATATGATAAATAGCATACCTAGTACATCATGGTTAATTCTTGTTATGTGAGGACTAAGATAAATGATATGTCTTCGGAAGTTCACTTTAACATAATATTTCCACCATAAAAGTCGTGTGGTTTTGACTTCACTAAATGTGTGTTGTAAGTGGCAACCTGTGAAAATCAGTACAAAAAACTAAGACTATGACAGTAGTGTCGTTAACGGTATTATTTTTCCAATTTTTAACACATCAACTTTTTTGTCGTTCCAGGTATCTCTGTGTAAATCTTTTTTTGTTCTTAATACTCTTAGTTATCGCGTACTCAACTCATGGGAACTGAATCTGCCTCGTTGCTGGAATTCGCCAACATTCAACTTAGAGGGTAAATTAGGATCTACTATAGTTTTTTTTCTCGTCATTTTATTTCTTCCCCTGGAATAAAGTTTCTATTCTTAAGGGAATCGTTCTGTATAGTATTCTAATTTAGTTTCATCAGCATTTTTTATTATAAACATCCCAGTCCTACAAGAGATCATTCATGACCAGAGTAGCTCAGTGGTAATGACTCAATACAAACCTGGATGAGGCCTGTTTGAACTTCACAGGAATAATCAGTCCTCTAAGGATCACACGTTCGTCTTACTGGTGAGTGCCAACCAGCTAACGTCTAAACACAGTGTAATTAATGTTGAATCACTTAGAACATTGCAACTTCATCTATAGAAGTCGGAGTAGACAACAACGGGTGTGAAGATATTATGGGACGACATGGACTGGGAAAAAGGAATGAGAATGGTAAGGGAATTGAAAATTTATGTGCGTTCAACAAAACGGTTATAGGTAGCACTATATTCCCACACAAATGCATACAAAAGGCTACATGGGTCTCATTGGAAGACACCACGGAGAACCAGATACATCATATTTGCATCAGTAAGAAATTCATAAACTCAATGGAAGATGTGAGAACCAGGAGAGGAGCTGACATAGCTTCAGGTCACCATCTATATAGTGGTTGCCGAAATGAAACTGAAGCTAAAAAACAACGGACAACTGGGGAAACAGCATTACAAAGGTTCAATACAGACTTCCTTCGAGATACTGATAAACTCAACGAATTCAGTATAACTCAACAACAGGTTCCAATCCTTACAGGATATACTGAAAGAAAAAACTACTATGGAGGACAGTCGGAAAAGGATCAAAGAAGCATTAAATTCAATGTGTCGGGAGGTTCTGGGCCACAAGAAGCATCATCATAACGAATGGATCTCTATAGAAACCCTGGTCAAGATTCAAGATAGGAAGAACAAGAAGACAGCAATGAACAACAGCCGAACAAGAACAGAGGAAGTTAAGGCACATGCCGAATACACAGAAGCAAACAAGCAAATGAAGAAGAGCATTAGAGCCGACAAGCAGAAATGCATGAAAGACCGCGGAAAAAGCTGTAAGAGAAGGAAATATGAAACAACTGTATGACACAAAGAAACTAGCAGGAAACTGTAGTAAACCAGAGAGACCGATCAAGGACAAAGAAGGCAAGCCAATCACTGAAATCAAGGGCAGAGGAACAGATGGGCAGAATAATTTGATGAAGACTTAAGCAAACCATTTCCGTTGAATCCACTGGACATCGGAGCAACATACACAGATAATTCTATAGATGTCACTGCACCAACGATCGAAGAAACCAGGATGGGGATTAGATAAATCAAGAGTGGGAAAACAGCAGTACCTGACAATATACCATTTGAGGCACTAAAATCAGACATAGAAGTTATTGCAAACATGTTCCACCTTCTATTCATGAGGATTTGGGAGGAAGAACAATTGCCGAAAGACTGGAAAGAAGGACACCTTACCAAGATCCCAAAGAATGGAGATCCCAGCAAGTGTAAGAAATAAAGAGGCATCACACTACTACTAGTACAAGTATAAGTTTTCAACAGTGTTGCTGAACCGGATGAAAGACGCAGTAGACGCCCAACTTCGAGATCAAGAGGCTGGATTCCGTAAGAATCTGTCGTGCACAGACCAAATCGTGACACTACTGATCATTGTTGACTGATCGATTGGATGTAACTCGTCACTATACATCAACTTCCTTGATTATGAGAAAGCATTTGACAGTGTGGATAGGAGAACATTATGGAACCTTCTTCGATACTATGGAGTACCTGCGAAAATCGTTAACATTATCTGGAGTTCATACGACAGTCTACAGTGCAAAGCGCTACATGGAGGATAGCTAACAGACGTATTCCAAGTAAGGACCGTTGTCAGACAAGGCTGCCTAATCTTTTCCTTTCTCTTCTAGTGGTTGGCTGGATTATGAAGACCTTCACATCTGAGGGGAAGCACGGAATACAACGGACAGGTTGGATGTAACTAGACGATTTGGCCTTTTTATCTCTTACACATCAACAAATGCACATGAAGACAACCAGTGTAGCAGCAGCCTCTGGATCAGTAGGCCTCAACATACACGAAGGAACAAGCATGATTCTCAGATACAACACAGTGAACACCAACTCAATCACATTGATGGAGAAGACCTGGAAAATGTGGAAACTTTCACTTACTTGTGCAGCGTCATCGATGAACGTGGAGAATCTGATGCAGACATAAAGGCGAGGATCGGTAAGGCAACAACAGCATCCCTATACTTGAAGAACATGTGGAACTCAAAAGAGCTGTCTGTCAACCAATATCAAAGTGAGAATATTCAATACTAACGTCAAGACAGTCAGTTCTACTGTACGAAGCTGAGACGTAGATAACTACCACATCCATCATCAAAACAGTACAAGTATATTTATAAACAATCGTCTACCAGAGATAGTCAATGTCCGTTGACTGGATACCATCAGTAGCAGCCTGGTGTGGGGGAGAACAAACAGCTTCCAGCTAAGGAGGAAATTAGGAAAAGATGTTGGAAGTGGATAGGACACATTGAGGAAATCATCAAACTGCATTACGAAGCAAGCACAAACTTGTAATTCTGAAAGGAAACGAAAATGAAGAAGGCCAAAATCACACTGCCTCGAGAATTAAAAGCAAACATGAATAAGATGAATAGCAACTGGAAAGGATAGCTCAGTGCAGAGTTGAGCGGCCCATGCTCCTCCATAAGGGGTAACAGGCCTAAGTGAGAAAGTAAATTAAACTGATCCCGTTTGAGCAACAGTGTTGGTAGAAAGCCAAATGCGAATTAAATTGAAGGGATTTATTTCAGGCACTCGTTTATTTAGACGTTAAGATGAGTGATGGGGAAGGCTGACACGCTTACTCTATTTAGCTAAAACGTGACTCAACATTTATAGGCATGAGAGATACAATGAAACATTTAGACTCAACATGCAATTATACACATATACTCAAGGTCACATGTATGAATGACAAAACGAATTGAGATGGTTAGAATAGTTCGTCTGTCCAAAAGTAGGAATATATTGTGTTGACATGTAGCAATGCTAGTTACTACAATTTGTTGGTTCATACTGTCAATGCAGCCGACATACATTCTATACAATATTAAATTCACTAATATTTCATTCATACTTCCTAAGTTTTAGTGACTGGTCATTCCCTTCACTTTATTTATGAGGATTGAATCAAACCTTATAATTTGGTTTGTTTTTCCTTGTACACAATGCATTAAATCATTTTACTTCACTTGCAGAACGCAGAAAAACATTTTGCTTAAATTTTATTGTAATCATCTTATAATTATTGTCTTTTTTCTCAGCCCTTTTATACAACTGTCGCTTCTTTTGGCGTTATAATCCACCTGTACCTAAATTAGCATGTGAGTCCAAACAGCTGATGTGCATTACCTTTGACCCTTCAATGGATAAATATTGGGCTCAGAGATTTCGTCTATTCTCTCGTTTTGATTCTGGGATTCAGGTCGATTGTGGTAAGTTCGTTTTGATCAATTAATTTTACTATACTCAACCAAAATAAGTAAACGATGACCCGAGAATGCATGATATTGATTCATACAACAATCATTTACTTATTATTTATTTACTAACCTATGTAGATTCATTATTCAGTGCTACTCCTGAAGTAATTGCTGCTCACCAGGCCAAACGTATATATCGAGTTTTTACGCCTTGGACAAAAGGAAGTTACACAGTCTTGGATATTTTCTGTGGTACTGGATCAAATGCTATACAATTCGCGTTACGTGGATTTCGAGGTAATGTGTTATCCATCTTCTTAATGTAGATCGTAATTGTATTTGTTGAATCTTATATAATGGTATTATATATCAACTTTCTCTCAATAGAGTATTGTAGATAATCCGTGGTGGATTACTAAAAATTAATGCCCTAATCGTAGACTACGTTAAAATGTTTTGACCAAATGATTAAGTTATGCCTAACATCCCGAACTAAAAACAAGTTATTTGTTTTACTTGGAAATTCAAGTAAGTTGTGAAAGTTATGTTTTGGTCTCTTCATCAGAATGTCATTATCAATACGGGGTTGCCTCTGAATCACTAGTTTATCTTAGCATAACGGTTTAAATCCTCTTCTCAATCCGTTTTTTCGACAAGATCATCTCACAGTTCTTCATTTGTCTTACAAGCTTTTGAAATACTGTTACATCCTTTAGCTGCACAAATAAGCTTACCAGTAAATTGACTAGAAAGGCCCGATGAAATAAACTCACGGAATCCCCATTACTTTATTGTATCTTTCACCTGGTGGCAAAACACGGTCCTTTATTGCTCCTCTTGCCGTTCATAATAATGCAACGAGTATATTAACTACTGTTCGTTACCGCTGATTTTATCTCTAATATTCGTTTTGAATCCTTTAATAAATATACAAAACTTGAGACTAGTTTTATCAAATTTGACAATTTTATCCTTTGGCAAGTCGACGGTCCAAACTACTTACTTAACTGAGTTATCATTGATAATAAATCACATCTGATGTTTACTAGCAGATCAGTTAATTCTCATGGTCTCCATAACTCTACCCTTAGTACGAAATTCAGATGATTCATCGCCTTCACTTTGTTTCTTCAACTTATTAATCGATACTTGTCTAGTCTATAATATTCTCTTATCGAGTCAAAATCCTCTTAATTCTATCTCTAACCCAAAGTACTTTCTACGTTCATGTGAGTATTACTACCAAAATGTAGTTGTCTCTCAGTTTTAGATAAAATTCATCTTAAGCATGGTTTATAATTTAAACGAAATTTACCTTAAGTGAGTTGAAAACAGCTTTTTGAGTTCCCAGATATGTGTGGTGGTTATCTCTTTTGATTCTCTTCATTTTCCGTGAAGATGGCCAATTTTTGACCAAGAATTGAGTACCGTAATGCCGAGGACTCAAATGCAAAACTAGCCATAGGAAAACAGAAACAACACTAATTTTACTTTAACATAATCCACCTAATAATATATTAAATTGAAATTTCAAGACATTAGTAAAATTAACCTGTATACTGACAACAGATAACTACGGTCCTACAGATTCATAACAAGAAATTCTGAACTTTAATAACAACTAACGTCTGTTAAACCAAGGTTTTGATGGCATCTTAGTAGCATAGTGGTAAACAGTAGTGTCCATGTTGTTTGAGCCCCACGAGGAATACAAACACATATTGTTATGTCTGGGCAAGACAAAATACGCTTCTTGCATCTCACTATCACCCACTGTAAAATAATATTTAATATAGTTTGGTCAGTAGTTGGCAACAACTGACCAAGTATCGTAGTTTATGGAAGGTACTAACAAGTACTGTCTAGTGAATTATTTGTTTAAACCAGCGATCATAACTGTAGAACGGGAGATTACACTGAAATTACTTCATATATTTAGCAAATCAACTATCCAAGTTCCAGGAAACCTGAATGAAATATTCATCATCATCTAAATAGTTCGAATAACTACTTTTCCTGTGTGACCTTTGATCTGTGTTCAGAAACGATAATTAGACAGTGATGTTTATTCCTAGAATAATAACTACATTTTTTCAAAAGTACTTCTGCTCTGTTTTTCCTTTATTCTGACTGTAGTGTTAATCACGTGTTGTCTATTTAATCCACCTTTTTATTTGTAGTACAGACAACAGAAAGTAGGGGATTTTTTAAATTTGAGTATAAAGTTTGCTTCTTCAACCTCTTTTAGTGATTGCGATTGAATCCGATCCAATTCGTATTTCAATGGCTGCAAATAATGCGGAAATTTATGGCGTTCGCCATCTTATTGAATTTGTTTGTGAAGATTATTTTACTTGGGCATGGAAGCAGATTCAGTCAAATTTCGTTTCTCAATCTGGTTTGACCAACAAGGTTGGATATACTGCTGCTCTAATGTCACCACCATGGGGCGGACCTAGTTATTTAGAATATGAAAGTTTTAACTTATCAAGTATAAAATTTCAAAATTCCAACACAAATTTATGGTGTGCTTTGTATTTAGCTCTGGTGCTGACCAATGGGAATGTAGCGTTGTTTTTGCCTCGTAATACAAATATGGCAGATTTTCTGGAAATTTCAGCCAAATGTATTAGAGAAATTAAAATGGATTCGTTAGACATTGAATTCGAATTGAACTTGATTAATTTCAAAAGCAAAGCTTTGACTGTTTATTTTGGTACCTTGGCAAATGCTAACAGAAGGACAACAGATACAAAATCTGATCATTCAGACGAATCAGATTACCTTAGTTAATGTGATCTTGATAAGACATTTTTGTAAATAATCTTAATTTATAAGATTCGGTTTTCTTATATGACTTTTGTATCGGAACTTTCTTCCAAGATATAAATATGTGTAGTTGATAGGATCTTTGAATGAATAAATTATAATTGTATATGGTTTGTTGATTTAGCTATTCAGTGTATTGTATTTTCTGTTGTATTATGATAAAATATAAAATTATTCATTTTTTGCATTGAGAAATATCAGGGTTTCTGTTATCCCTTTATCACCTCTTCTATGCACGCGTTGTCTCTGCTTTATCTGTGGTCTTACTGCTAATACTTGAAAATGGGAACCACTATAATTCCCAGAGCACAAAATACTTGTGCAATAAAAATTTATTGACTTTCCTAAAACAAGCCATCCAAATCCACATTTTCATTAAACCAAATACCCTCATTTATATTGCACATACTTGGTGATTAGTTAATAAACATCATATGAATGGAGAAGATACACAGTTATTGTAAAACACAAACTCAGTTCACCTAGAATAATGCGAATAATATGATTGTCACACTAGGTGAAATTTCACTTTCCTAGTTTTATCAGTGTGGCCAGGAATGACAATTTATGGAAAGTGGTTGTTCAGTACAAGTTGGACACTTTCGATTCAGTGATTCTGATTGGTTATGATAGTTTCTACCATTTAGGAATAATCCTTTAGCTGCATTTATTTATTGCCAAGCAGTAACAGTGCTGCCCGCATCGGATACAGAATGCTTCATCCTCAGGTATATGGTGGATAACCTAACTCGTACTGTCTAATTGTGAATGTGTGATGCTTGTGCAGAGCTCAATACTGATTTTCACTCGTTATCTCTAGAAATGTTTACCATCAGTGATAGATGCAGTGTAAGATTTTCTATTGCGTAAACTTGAGGTTCGTCTGTTTAGACAAATAATATGAAACTATGTTTCTGATCACCAGTGTCTTCTGAAAAGTGCTCCTTTGTCATAAGCTACACAATTAACGGTGAAGTTAAGTGTAGAGAGACTGGGGAAAAACGAAGCTAGTCAGTGGTATTGTGAATATTCTTTCATAGAAATGACAGGTATTAGCCACCCAGCCGCGTTGCTAACTTACAGCATGCAGTATTATCTGAAGTAGAAGTAAATCAGAAAAAGATATCAACTCACAGAAACACTGACTTTCGTTGTGAGCTATGTTCGTATATTAGCTGAATTCTGTCAGGTTGTATAACTTGGTGGCAACAGTCGTTAGACAATGCTGCATAGAGTAGACAGACACTTAAATGTTGAGAATATTTTTCCTTGTTTCTTTAGTCGTTTGCGGCGCTGTATTTCCCAAAGATGTTTACTAATTCATCCTGAGCTCCTGGATACTCTAGATGACAGTAGCAGAAACGTATACCTTCTTTATCTTCTGAATATCGTAGATTCTGTTACTGATCACATATATCCTGTTGCCGACCACTGCCCTTTTCCTACTATCTTTATTTTTACTATTGCCAAACATGGAATATTGCCTGTCTCGGTTTATGGTTTTCTGTGCTCGCCAGACGATTAAAAGTGTAGTAATTCATGAATTATCACATTTGATTTTACTTTATATAGCTCTCTGTTTCGCTATACAAGGTTACAAAACATCTTGAATTTAGATTTTCTTCATGTTGATCCTGATGGTCGTGAATATTTTCGAAGGTTACCAGTTGTTAGTGCTTTTCTGCAACATTTTCCTTATCTTATGATTTGTCAAAGATATAATATCCGTTTTACATCATACATGTTAGTTGGTTTTTAGTGGTTATGTCTATGATAAATTGTCTCTGCAATAGCGAAACAACCAGGCCGGAAGTTTTTTCGGCAAAATTTTTCAGTTTCAAAAGATCAAGTGCGAATTCGAAGCTTACACTTGTTCTGATTGTAAGGAGTAAAGTATGTATGAAATTGTTTCCTTTGCAGGTTGGTCGACGTCGGTATGAATTCTGATTTGGTTTCCAAAATAATAATACTCATAGATTTGCTTTGGTTTTTTCATTATTTTTAAGAATTCAACCGAGGGATTGCAGTTTATTTTCTTGCATTTCAATAAAAGTATGTAGTATTAAATCTCGCAACCAGGCAGATAAATGTTTTAAATGGATGCTGAATCTCAATAAAATCATGAACTGACCTAACCTAGACCACCAATGAAAACCTGGAAGCATTAGACAGCCATTTTTTCTTAGCGTGAAACTCCTCGTCAGGGCGCACGCCTGTTCCTGCACATGGGGATCAAACCCAAGACCTTCGGTCTCGCCAATGAATGTTTGACCTATGGACCATTGAGTCAGCATTAAACTGTGTTAATGTCTAAGACAATGGAAGATAGTCGCGTAATATCGTGGATTGGTTAAGGTTAGACCTTAACACCGCTGGATCCCGGTTCAGTGGATTAGAGATTAAGCATTCACGAGAGGTGCCGAAGGTCTTGCGTCCAGGGTTGTGGACGCCTACTGCTGAGGAGTTACATACTAGGGTGAGACGGCTGTCCGATTCTTCCAAGTTTTCAACGGTGGTCTAACTTAAGGTCGGTTCATGTTCCCAATGATCTCCACAATCTATTACTGACAAATACGAAATCACTAGATAAGTATATTCAAATGAGTTGACTGAATTTACCATAAGATCCACTACAAATGTTTGTCGCTTGTAATTGATATTAGTAAGTAAACTGTTATACTACTAGTGCAGATATTTCAGAGACTGAAGAGATGGGACGTAGCTATTTGTTCAACTTTAAATCTGTGGGTTGGAGTTTTCTTAATATGAGGATAAATTAGTTTTATCATGAATAAATATTAGTTTTATTAAGCATCCCTTGTATGCTTTAACATTTCCCTCCACCTCATCTACACATTTATCACGATAAATTATTTCCCTAATTTACGCCGTTACCAGTCAAGTTGATGAACAATTTAATATTTTCTGACAATCGTCTTTAGTATTTCTATTTTAAAATGTTGAAATTACTTGTCGTACACTAAGACAATACTGGACGAATCTCATGAAATTTATTATGAGAATGGAGGTTTCTAGCTTATTTACGTAAAATAAACCTAAGTTATTACGTTTCGTTTTATTTTTCTCCAGCTAGTTAATAAGTTGCAGATTATAAATTTTTGTCCATACTACATACAGTCCACATCAATAAATAAATTAATGGAAATCCCCACTTGTAAAACTTGTGATTTTCTTTGTATACATAATAAATTTGCCTACTGATAAGTAGTTTGAGTAATTGATTTTATTTCCGTTCAAGGTTATTTTCACTAAAACATCCTTATCAGTATAGGGTTGCGGAGATTATTGAGTTTTGACAAAACGGCCGTCCATTGCTTCTAGGTTTTCGATGGTCGTCTAACATCGATCGATTCATGGTCTCAATTAAAAAATCATGTCCTCACCTTGTATAGAAAATATTCTAAAAACTGAACAGCTATATCTTTAAATGACTATTTATTGTAACTGGAAGACTATTAGTATCGATTTCATGCCGACGGCCTATTATATCACTAATTCATCCTGTTCTACAAATAAACTGAACAGTTTTCAGACGTTTAAATGTTCATTAACTCTTCTAATGAATTATTGAAACTAGTTGTAATCAAAATGATAAATTTAAATTATTAGAACTGTTAACTTAATCCCATAGAATTATTAATTTTAAACAACCTCGAACCTTAACTTGCGATCTAACTATTCAACTCTTTGTCAACTGGGCTACGAATTTTAATCAATAATCACTTTCCTGTTCAACTAACCAAAGGATATGACTGATAACTGAAGAGTTTTCGAACTTAGCCATCGACATTAAGTATTATAGTTCAATGAGTATAATTTTAAAAATATCTAATCTAGACTACTAATACTATTTCATAGTCGCCAGTTTAATATTATTATTAAACGGGGCTGTGTGAAGATTGTTGAATTTCGTAGTTTATATCACGAATCGATGTTAGTTTAACAGTCATAAAAACCAGAAAACATTCAATAGCTGTTTGATCTCAGTATGTAAATCCTCAGAATTTCTCATTCATAATCCACACCAGGTCAATAGTTGTCTATTGAAAATTAGTTTTTGACTATTATTAGCAATATTTTCCCTCAATTCAATGTACATAAGTTCATTATTCCAAATTCAAAAATATTTGACAAGTTACAGTTTGTTCCTCATTCATAAAGTTCAGGTGATACTATGATTCTTTGTTAAAGCTATCGTATATAGTAAGAGTTGGTCAATCGAGTTATAACACTCATTAAAAGAGTTCTGTAAAATTTCGAAATCGAAGTTTCTATTTAGATAATTTTAAAAAACGTCAATTATAGTCAAAGTCTTAATACAGTTGTATTAGGGAATTTTAGCTGATAATTCTAAATAATTGACTGATTCAAAGTAAAATTTTAGCATGATCATCTAAAGGATAACTGGAAGTCTTAAAATGTTTCTGTGGACATTGAACAAACATTCCACACATTTCTAATAAGCCTATAATACTGTATAACTATAACTCCCTACATAACTGAAGTAGGCGTCATGTTTTTCTGAATGATTATAACCCTACAGAAGTTAATTATAGGATACTTCCTAATCGAAATCATCATAAATTCTAGCAAGTGTCAGCTTTCAAATTTCCCAGACGTCACTGCGTATTTTATTTCCAATGATAATCATTTTACTTTGAAAATTACATGGTAAACATGTGACAAATTATGTAATCAAAATTTTATTGCACATAACTGTAAAACTTTATGAATTACTTCAGTCTGATTTATGCATTTATTATTATCTTTATAGTTTATTCATCATATAATATGATATTACATATATATATATAATATATATATATAATCTTATAATATAGCTTTTCATTCCAATCCACTTATCAACTTTTTACATAATTCATTTCTATATCTCCCATGGGTCGAAAATAAAAGTTTATTCGGTAAGACTATAATTTATGGAT